CAAAGCTCTCACTTGCTGAGGCAGAGCAGTAACCGTGTCTGACAGTTCTGAGTGACCTGAGCAAGGCCTCACATACCCTCACTTTCACCATCTGTAAAATGGAGGGGATAATAATACCCACCTACTGCCCAGGAGCTTTGTGAGGATCAACTAATGTCTGGACAGTACTTTGAACACATCAAGTGCTACAGAAATGGTGAGTGCTCTGAAGAATCAGGTCCTGGGGGGGTCTCAGGTTGGTGCCCCACCACCACAAGTTAGTGGAGACTTTGGAAACTTTGGCTTTAATCACCAGAGGTAAAACTTTCAAAAGTGCCTAAATGACCAGGAGCCTAAGTCCCTTTTCAAAATGGGACTTAGGCAAAGAGATGCTGAATGGTAGTGGGGCTCCATGGTAGTGGGGCTCCTAAGTTGACTTCCATTTTCAAAAGTAAGTCCCTAAATCACTGATCACTTATGGAAATGTTGCCCTGGGTGCCATCCACCCAGTGCAGTGAATGATGCAGGAGCTGAGTGGAACGAATAGTTTGGAAGCATGCAATTAGACTGTATCATAATGTGTATGCAAAAGGGGGCAGGGAGAATTAGAAAGGATAACAAACAAACTGATGGTATTTCCTAAATTTGGAGTATTTGACTTTGACTAAATAACATTATCCTTTTTTTTTTTGTATGTGACGTAAATATTAGAGCTGGTTGAAACTCCCACATTTTTTCCTGTGAAGTATTTCAAATGCAATATTTCAGTTTTTCTCTAGATTTTGACCTTTGAAAATGGAATGAGAATTATTGTTTAGATTCTAACTAAAATGTTGTTTCATTTCAACTTCCATTTCAGTTTGACAGTTTAAGATTCTCCTGCCTCCTCTCCTGTTTTATTTTTTCCTGTTTTTCCCCACAGTAGAAATTTTGGAAAAAAAAAAGTATCAGGAAGCAAGAAAAGCACTTCTGAACCTTTTTCACCTGCAAATGTGTGATTTTTTTTAAAGGGTGTGGGGGAGAAAGTGCTGCTTTCTTTGTGGCATGCTACCAAAAATATCCTCAGGAACTCATGTGAGAGATGGGAAATAGTTATGATCAGCACTTTATAATTCAGCCAAAATGGAAGGAATTTCACTGAAGTAAGGTATCAGAGGGGTAACCGTGTTAGTCTGAATCTGTAAAAAGCAACAGAGGGTCCTGTGGCACCTTTAAGACTAACAGAAGTATTACTACTTCTATTAGTCTTAAAGGTGCCACAGGACCCTCTGTTGCTTTTTACTGAAGTAAGGGGAGTTCCTGGCCCCAGCACTGACCCCTTGCTGAATTGCAAAGGCCGGTTGCAAGCAGTGAAGGCATGAGGGGTTCTCCAGAAGGTGGTGAGAATATTTTATAATAGAAAGTATGAAGCAACCTCTAGAGAGGGGGCCGCTCCCCCTGTAATTACTGGAGTAATGATTTGAAGAAGGATGGAGACAGTGGGTTGGTGACATTTATGAAACTCTAAGTACAAATTCTGTCCCTGCTTTACTGCCCTGCATATGCACACATTTGCTGAAACTCTTCCAGGAGAATCCAGGGCTTTCCCTGGTCATAACTATTCTGGTGATAATATATTTAATTTTATTTTATTTGTAATATATTAATTATTTTTATATGTGGTTTAGAATCTAGCTCCCTCTCCCCTTGCTGTGCCCTGAGGTTCCCCTGCTCTGGGGTCAGTGTCACACACTGAGGGGCAGGTGTCCTTAATCCAGCATTACACTTACCTGAGCAAACCACACTGGCATCATTGTCATGGGAGCACTGAGAGGCCCCCAGAGCAGTAACAGGGCATTGGCTCAAATGGGGTTCAGTCCCTTTACAGTGATATGTGTCTGTCCAGACAGAGTCAGTTCCCTTCCCAAAATATGCTTCTCCTGGAGCTGATACAGCGAATCCACAGTCGAGCTGATGACAGAGAACGTTGGCATCTGGTAAATCCCAGCGTGAGTCACAGAGGGTTCCCCAGGCACCACGAACCTGAATCTCCACCCTCCCTGAGCACTCCGTGCTGCCATTCACCAGCCGGAAATCTGTGTGCCGAAGGGAGAAGGGGTTTAGAGAGGGAGAATTTAAGATATTTTATAGCAAATAGTTAAAGAAGGAAAGTCAGGGGGCACTTGATCCCTTTCTCATTATCTTGGCTTGTTTGGGGTTTTGATCCAACCCTATCAAACCCAGCTCCCTACACAGTGAGATCAGTACATTGCTTCACCCTAATCTAGAATACACAGAACTGGTATTTTAAAGCTATTGTGCTGAATTCTTACGTGAGCATATGACACCGGCATCATTTGTGTGTGAGCATCTCTGATTCACTTGTGATATCCTGGGACAGGAGAACAGGAGAGACTCATTCCCCACACACTGGAATTCTTCAGTCAAGATCTCGCCTTGTCCTTCTCCAAAGTGACCTCCTCCTGGGATAGATACAGCTATTCCACACTGTAGTTCATTACAGATAACGTTGGCAACTTTGTGATCAAAGTGTGCATTACAGACTGTTTTCCACGTGTTTCCATGTTCTATCGCCACACGTCCTGAGCAGGCAACATCTCCTCCAACCAGCCGGGGTTTAATGTGTCCTAGAAAGACAATGGAGGCTGAAAATTATAAAGGGCGTTTGGGAGTTGGGGTGCTCCACTGGTATAAAACTTTACCTAAAAGCTCATACTGGGTCAGTGGCAAAGTGAAGGCAGCAATAGAAATGAAAAGGCAATATATTAAAAGATGGAAATAGTGGGAATTTGAGCAAATCAATATACATTAAAAGTTATTATATGAAGAAAACTGATAAGGGAAGCTAAAGAGATCAGGATAAAATCTGTGACTGGGAGGACTATGAAAATAAGGAGTTTTTTAAGTATATTAGAAACAAACAAACAAACAAACAAACAAATCCTAACAATGATATAGGCCCATTAGAAATGGAGATGGTGAAATTGTTAATAATGAGGTAGAAAAGGCAGAGGTGTTCCATACACATTTCTGGTTTTGGACAGCAGCAGGATGTCTATTCGTATCCTGTGAAGAGGATGAATCTCTCTCCAATCTATTGGTACCTAAGGAGCATGTTAAATGGCATTTATCAGGGATCAACATTTTTTCACATCAGCAGGCCTGAATAGCTGGTAAAACCATAGAATAATAGAAATGTAGGGTTGGAAGGAACATCAAGAGGCCATCTAGTCCATCTCCTCACACCAAGGGATGTTTAAGTATACCTAGGTCACCCTGATAGATGTTTGTCTAACTTGTTCTGCAAAGTCACCAATGATGGGCAGTACACAACCTCCCTACGTACCCTGTTACAGTACTAAATTATCCCTCTAGTTAGAAAGTTTTTTCTAATATCTAATTTGAATCTCATTTGCTGCAATCTAAGATGATTGTCTAATCCTACTCTTGGTGGATATGGACAAAAATTGACAAACAACCTTTCAGTTATTTGAAGACTGTTATCAGTTCACCTCTCAGTCTTCTCTTCTCTAAACTGAAAATGTCCATTTCTTTCAACATTTTCTCATAAATCATGTTTTCTAAACCACTTACTTTGTTTGTTGCTCTCCTCTGGACATTCTGCAATTTATCGTTATCTTTCTTAAACAGTGATGAGCAAAACTGGACACAGAACTCCAGCTGAGTCCACACCAGTGCTAAGTAGAGCGGGACAATTACCTCCTGTGTCTTACATATAACATTCTTGTTAATACAATTCAGAATGACATTTCCCTTTTTCACAACAGCATCACAATTTTTTAGATTGTGATCCACTATAACCCGAAGATCATTTTCTGCAGAACTACTGCCTTGTCAGTTATTCCATATTTTAGGGTTTTTGCATTTGATTTTTCCTTCCTAAGTCTAATACTTTGAACTTGTCTTTATTGAATTTCAATTTACTGATCTCAGACCAATTCTCCAGTTTATCAAGATCATTTTGAATTTTAACCCTGCCTTCCAAAGAGCTTGCGACCCCTCTCAGCTTCATGTCATCTCCAAATTGTGTACGTGTATCTCTACTCCATCACCCAAGTCATTTACAAAAATATTGAATAGTACCAGACCCAGGACAGTGTTATTTTGT